TCTAGATTAAAAATCGAGAATTGCAGTCCATCAAAAGGAGATTTTACGTTCGGAAAACTGAAAGCCGATTATGCTTCATCTATTCCAGATATTTTATTATTCGAAGGATATCAACGTTTCGAAGAACATTTAGACCTGTGGGTTTTAATTTTTTTGCCGGATATTGTGGTATCATTCCACGCTTTCCCAAATTTCTCACGAATATTCTTGGTGTTTCTCACCGAAATTCGCGCTTCTCGAATTACGGGGCCTCTATAAAAATCTCATCAAGCAGACGAAGTTTATCCTCGCCTACGGATCAAACCATCCGTCGATTTTAAGCAGGATTGCTATGCACGAAATTACCGAATCGGCCGCAATATAAAGGTACGATGCGGAAGATACTAAACCCAAACGCGCCACGCGCTTAGCATAGATATGAATTTCAAGCTGACTCTCACACAGTGCGATACGAGAAATTCTTTCGCGTCCGGAGTATCGAGGAGATTCGCAAATAGAATATTCTGAACTCACTCGCAACAAGATAGCGCGTACCCCTGAACGGGATACTTCGTCTTATTCTTGGACAGAATTCATTTACTGTATTTTTCACGATATTAGAATTATTTTTTAAAATTCATCGCGAATTTTCGGATTTATGTCAGCTTCAGATTAATTTCTATACTATTACTTTACATATTTTTTAATGTTAAAGTTAATTGTTTCTAAATATAAGCTTCGTGAATTTACGGACCATTATAAGCATTAGACGAAAATATTCACAAACGTTCAAAGTTGGTTTGCAGATGATAGTTACACAACTGATTTTCAGTATTGCGAGCGTTTCGCACGTTGATTTAAGAGGTCGGCTAGCAGGCATTTCTCCAAGCAACATAGTCGAGCGATCCAATGCTCTATTTATGAGCATGTAATATAGCCTTGATCTGTTGGATTATTTAATTTATATCGCTAGCTATGCTGAAGATTAACGAAAAACTATTATTATGACACATCTTGAAATCATACAAGCAAAATATGTTCGTTTTCTGGCTGTATTATTTTCTAAAAGTAAAAAATCAGATCTGATGTACGTTAATATTTAATATTTTGAAAGAACTTTTGAGAAGAGAAAATTTTATGTATGTATATATATATAATTTTATATTATGTATATA